CTAGGGAGTGGCTTTCCTGAATCTCTTTCTCTTCTCATGCTCCCCTTGTGGACTGTGTTGCCTCTTGCCTCCTCCTCCCTCCTGGAATGCACCCCCCCCCTCCTGATAGCCTTGATCTCCCACATCACTCTCTTCCTCATAGATACATTCCCTCACATGTGGGGAGCCCTAGGCCCTCTTATGTGGGGTCCCTTAAGGGGGTCACTCACCATCCCTATTTAACATCTATAGGTGAGGTTATTCAGTGGCATGGGATGCAATATCATCAATATGCTGTATGCTTCAGGCTGGAAAATGAGGCTATTCAGGTGTTTACCCAGTGTCTGGCAGCTGTGAGAATCTGGAGGGGGAAGAATTGGCTACAATTCAAGCCTAGCAGAACAGAGTGGCTCTCAATTTTGGGGTCCCCTGTATCTGGACAGCTACCATCTTTAACTCTTGACAGTGTAGCACTCCCCCAAATTTAGCTTGTGTACAAGTTGAGGGTGCTCCTGAACTTGCAGTTCCTACTTGAAGAACAGGTGGCAGCTGTGGCTAGGGGGGCCTTTGGATGGATTTAACTTGTGCACCAATGGCACCCATTCATGGACAGGGAGGTCTTGCTCATGGTCATTCATCCCCTGGTCACTTCTTAGCAACATGCAACATGCTTTCAGTTACTGCAACATGCAACATGACCAGCCAGGAACAACATCTGGTCCAGAATGCGGACCAGCTCATACACAGTTTTGTGTACTTCACAGTTTGCCCATGTTACACTGCTGCTGTGCAAGTACAAGTCAAGATGTTGGTTATCACCTTTATAGCCCTGAATGGCACAGGGCCAGTTAGTTGCAGGACTGCCTCTCCCTGAGGTATCTGCCCATCCCACCAGGTCTGATAGGGTGGGTATGCTCCAATTTTCTTCTCTTAAATGTTGTCATCCACTGTGACCAAGAGGTATGCCTTCTCTATAGCACCCCTTGCCTTATGGAACAGGCTCCTCCCTGAGATCCAGAAGGCTACAACCCCTTTAGCCTTCTGGAAAACCATGAAGATCTGGCCCTTCCCCCAAGCATTAGACTAGGTTGGGAGTTGAGCCCAGCAATCATGGAGTTAATGCAGTGATCTCAACATGCCATGGAAGGAAGTTTTATGTTCTTGAACAGTGTGGGATTGCTATTTTATTTTTTCCATTTTTATTGGCTCTTCTTGTGAACCACCCAGGGTTACTGTGTATAAGATGGGCAGCTATATAAGCCCTTTAAATAAATAAACATAGTGAAAGATGAAATTAACTTCATAGTGACTTCATAAATGTCAGCAAATTGAAATGGATGGAACTGGACACTTTCATACCATTTACTACGCAAGTCACAAAAAACAAAAAAGGAATGGCTTTGCTTTCATTGTCAAGAAGGATATAGCAAAGACAGTACTTTGATACAATTCAGTCAATGACTGAATAATATCAATTAGACTTTGTGTTGTTGTTGTTCAGTCGTTAAGTCGTGTCCGACTCTTCGTGACCCCATGAACCATA